TGAGATGTTCTGTTTACCTCATTTATAGCCTGCCTTTCTGCTCCATGGGGACCCACAGTGGCTTACATCATCATCCTCACCTCCATTTTATCCTCACAACAACCCTGTGAGGAAGGCTATGCTGAAAGTCATGCAGCAAGCTTCCATGGCCAAAGTGGTGGTGTTTTTGTTAATTCAATTTATGAATCACCCCATCCCTGTAGAAACAGGGCTCTGACGGATATACATCTATCTATCTATCTATCTATATATAAAAGAAAGTCCCCTCACCATAAAATCAACGCCCAGGCCAAACCGCTGGACCTAGAAACACCAAATTTGGGGAGAGTGCTCCTACCATGGTGTAGATGCTCACAAAGAAGGGATTTTTAGAAATTCAACCCCTAAGGGGATCAAAAGGGGTAAAATGTGCTCCCCCCATTGATTCCTATGTGGCTGCCAGGCTGCTGCTTCCTTGCACCCCACACTCTCTGACGGGTCAGCTGCGGAGCTCAGTGTTCTGAGGTTTAAAAAAAACAGTTACAGGGGACTACAGAGAGCTAATGACAGTTGAGGAAATCTGGAGTGGCTAATTGCCTGTGAGGTGAAGCAAAGCTAATGGCCCAGCCTCCCTATGGCTTCAAACATGCTCCCTCCTTCTATAACTGACAGACAGTTGTCTGTCAGGTGCAGCAGCAGTTGCAGGGTGCTTAAAGCCACGAGGGAGCCTGCCCCAGCAGTAACGCCTTAGTGATCCTGCCAGCCCTGCCTCCACAGTGGCTTCTAATACTCCTCCCCCCTCCCCCTCCTACCCTGAACAGGCAGCTGCCTGTCAGGTGTAGGAGAGGAGGGAGGATGCTTACAGCCAACGGGGAGGTTTGCTCAGCAAGATTGCCTTAGCCCTGTTGCTGGCCCAGCCTCCCTGATGCCTTTAAACATAATCCCCCCAACACCAGACAGGTGCTTAAAGCCATGAGGGAGCCTGCCCCAGCAGTCTACAGAGAGGTCCTTCAGTAGAGAAAAAAAGAGTACATATGTCTCACTTCATTTTTTACACTACAATCTTCTCCATTAGAATTCCTACAACAAATGTTACATTTCAGACTTCACATCATCAGTATTATAACTGGATTTATGGAAGTTAAATATCATAGCGAAGCACAGGTATCAGGCTAGTCAATGATAAAACAATCAATAACATTGTGCAACAATCCAAATAAACAGTTACAGATGTAATTAAAACCTAAAAACCTAAAATCCAAGATGGTGTCCTAATAAACCTTGTTCCCATACTGGACTGTGCAGGGCAGGACATGGGAAACAGATGAAACAAGGAGAAAGAGGAAAGGGGCCAGTGATGGTCATACCGTTACTATCCTCACCCAAAAGTCCAGTGGAACATCTCTGCCTTACAGGCCCTGCAGAATTGCATTAAGTCCAGCAGGGTCCTGATGTTATTCAGCAGAGAGTTCCACCAGGTTGGGGCCAGGACTGAGAAGGCCCTGGCCCTAGTCGAGTACAGCCAGACATCTTTGGGGCCAGGGATCACCAGCAAATTATTCTCTGCTGATTGGAGTGCTCTCCTGGGGACATAACAGAGGAGACTGTCCTGAAGGTATGTGGGTCCCTGACTGCTCAAGGCCTTAAAAGTCAATAGTAAAACCTTGAACCTGATTCGGTACTCCACTGGGAGCCAGTGTAGCTGAAGTAGCACAGGTTGTATATGTGCCGTCCATGGCATTCCCACCAGGACACACACCACCGTGTTCTTGATCAGTAGGGGCTTCTGAGTCAGTCTCAAGGGCAGGCCAGGATACAGCGGGGCTAATTGCTGTGCTTGGTGTAGATGAAAAAACACCAGCCTGGCAATATTCATAACCTGGGTCTCCATGGTCAGGGAGGCATCCAGAGTCACACCCAAACTCCTGATGGATTGCGCCAGTGTTAGTGGCACCCTGTCCAGAGTGGGAAACGAGCCCCAACCCTGAAGCCCCCCCCCCAACAGAACTTCCGTCTTTGTTGGATTCCATCTCAGCCCGCTCTTTTTTAACCACCCCACCACAGCCTCTAAGCCCATAGCCAGATTTTGCAGGGTGGTATCTGGGTGGCCGTCCAGTAGCAGATATAGCTGGGTGTCATCTGCATACTGATGGCACTGAAGCCTGAAACTCCATGCCAGCTGGGCGTTGGGGCACATCAGGGAAAGGACTGCCCCCTGAGAAACCTGCATAATAAGAGGTACCTGGTGGATATATCCCCCCTCCAGTGCCACCCTCTGTCCCTTACCAAGAAGAAGTGAGGAGAGCCACTTCAGGGCCACCCCACCTATCCCCACATCGCCAAGGCAGTAAGCCAAAAGTCTGTAATTGCTGCTGTGAGGTCGAGTAACAACAGCAGTGCCGACCCACCCTGATCCAACTGCATGCGGAGATTGTCTGTCAGGGTGACCAACACCATCTCCATCCTGTGGCCAGGGTGAAAGCCAGGATGGAATGGATCCAATGTCAATGTGTCATTCAGGAAACTCTGGAGTACGGATTCAAACCTGGATTTCCTGGTTGGACACATGGATGTATAACATCCAGTTTGGCCCTAATGAGGAGTACTTGAAACATGCTCAGGGAAAAAAAGAACCACTCATCATCACTACTTATAAGAGAACAAAGAAACGAGTCCTTTTCAGTATGAGAAATTTAATATAGATCATTTTTCTCTGATATGATTGTCTGGATATAATCAATCACTGGCTCTCTGACAAAAGCTGGTAGGGGGCCTTTTTATTCTCACATCATGGGACATCGTTTTCTGAATGCGTGCTTTACGATTTTGTCTGGTTTTCTCTGTCATTCATAGGTCCTGGGCTTTATACACACATATCTGAATTTTGCTAAGAACTGGGAAGCCACCAAGAGTAATTTTTGTTAAACTGTTCTTGGGAGATAATGCATTCAGCCAGCACTTTTACCTTCAAGCTTTTGGAAATCTACAGCAGTGGCTAAATACTACAGCTCTGTGGCCTATTGTTAGTACAAATAATGAAAAAAGAAGCATTTATTTGAGTGGTTTTCTGTTACAATACAAGGCTTTAATGGCGCTAGACACTTATTCCTTCCAGATAACTGGAAAAAAGACACTCTTGGTCCAGTGGGAGAAGGGAAACAAAGGTGTTTGTAGTATTTACCAGTAATAGCCTTTATTTGATCATGCTGGCATCAAACACAATGAACTTCAATTACCACAAAGTAAATGCTAGACATAAAATTATGATATTAGCTCATTTTTAACTTATTTTTCACTTCTTTGTATTAGCTGTTTCCATAGTTCTAAAATGTTATTTTGGCAAGTGCATCCCATTGTGGTCCATCTTTGGGAGGAAAACTATAACACAAAGCTAACAGAGACCTTAATCACTCAAATTCTGTTGACGGTACATCATCTAACTGGATGACTGCCCAGCGCCTCTCATTTCCTAGCAATAGAGGAGCCACACTAAGAATGCACCCTTCAGTTGAAACATTCCTTGCAGCAGATGAAAGCAAAAGAATAGCTTCACCTGCTAATGTAAACAACCACACACTGTGCTTTAGTGCTTTTAAATTAACTATAATGCACTTTTGGCTCATTCTGGATAATGTGGTAGTGAGCTGTTAATGGCACTGGAGAAGCCGGAAAGGCCACTAAGACCTTGATGACTGCAGAACTGGTAATATAGTGCAAAGAGGAAGCAACAGGAACCAAAACAAGCAATAGAGTAATTATCCCGCTATATGTCTCCCCATAGTAAAGGAAGTGCTCATTGGTCCCTAGTGTTCCCAAAATTATTGCTGCTCGGATCCTCTTGAAGTTTAAGATAGCTCTACATCCCAAAACAACCCTACCAAAAGAAAATCAAAGGAGCAAGATTAAGCCTACCTGTGGCATGCTTTAAGGGCCCAAAGGGCATGAAGAAAAGGGAAACAAAACAAAAATTCTGAAACAGGTTGCTTCTGTGATTCTCCAGCACCATGACTCAAAGCAAGTGGGGGACTTGTACCCTACTAGGTAGACAAATTTTAATATTATGGAAATTGTTTGCTAATGGTGCGAACAAAGCACATTAGTTGTGCATTTTCAACCAATCTTTTTTTCCCCTGGTTGGCACCATAAAAAGTTGTGGAACTAGTAGTGGATTGCTAGAATGAAGGATGCTAGGGAAGGGAAGAAAACAAGGATGAGATCATTGTGTCGTTGTGGGGAGAACAGAATGTGGACACAGAAGGTGGTTAGTGCTTGATTTCTTGGGGATGTAACAATAAAATATATATTCACTCTAAATTCTTATTTCTAAGTATTGCTGGGGAGATGCAGTTAACTGGTTTCTCTTTGCTTCCTCCCAAATACAACCCAAACAAAAATAAGAATTTAGAGTGAGCATATCTTCCACATATTGGTACATTTCCAAGAAATCAAGCAGAAATTCAGAACCTCAGTCAAATCATGCTCTTCACCACTACAAGTACCCTGTGTTGGATCCCACCATTTTGGCCACTAATGGCAGAGTCCTCTTTTGGCTAAAGAAGGGTTCCAGCATTAGTGGAAAGGAATTTCACCAACTGTCTTGAACGAGTGGTTTCCAGAACTAATTTACTGTTGCATTCAATGCTACTAATGTTTAAAATTTTAAAGGTGCTGAGGAAAAATGTTTGTCCGCTCATCTTAGACAGCTGGAGGCTCATTGTGAAAGAACTGTGTTAATTATCTTAAACAACCACCAGATTGAAAAAAAAATGTTCACATGGAATAACAACTTAAAAAACACATTTAAACAGATAATGTTAAATAATGCACACAATATATTAGGCAGGTAATAATTGTAGGGTTTTTATTCAATGTAGCTAAGCATCTTAACTAACCTTAGTTTTTGAGAAACTGCAAAGCAACGCTCCAGGGTCTTCTGCAATTCCCCACATGTCTCAGTGTGGTCCACACAAGTTTTGTATTTATATGGACATCAACAAAAAAGTTTTAAAAACAAGACTTACCAGAAATATTCTTTCAAGTTGATCTTGAATATCTTTCATTCCTGGGAAAGCAGCAACACCCTGAATCATTTCTACGAAGATACAACCAACTCCCCTGAAAAGCAAGAATTTAAAATAAAGTTGAAATAATTTCTTAACATTAAAGAACCTAACATCTGGATCATTACACTATTCTTTGGAATATTACTGCAGGCTGCAAAAAGACATGAGGAAAATTACTGGAATGTTCGGAGTTGCTTAAAAATCTATATTCAGAAGTCATTTGAAGGAGCTTGTTTCATTAATTAAAAAGTCTCCCACACCTTAACTAAAACCAAAGTCAGCTTTGAAGTAACTGCCAAAAGAAGTGTTAGCACTACAGGACAGAAACACTTTTACTATACACAATCCCCAGGAACTATTAACAGAGATAAATGTGCTGAGGAAATCTGTATCTGCTACCACATTTTTATCCTAACATTCTTCCAAAGAGCTCAAGGCAGTGTATATGGCTCTCCCTTCTCCCATGTTATCACCACAAAGATTGTGAGTGGCCCAAGGTCAGTGAGGTATATGGCCAAGTGGGGATTTCAACCTGGATCGGCCATTCCTAGTCCAACGTTCTAACCATTTAATTATGCTGGCTCTTTAGGACCCAACGAACTGTTTCACTAGTTCTATGTACCCCAAGGGGCTCCATATTTGGGTTTCTTAAACAGCAACCTCTCATGTCATATGTCAAACCACTCTTGAAACTGAAAGGCATTTCAAAAGCAGCATCTGATATGATTGAAGTTTATTGTAGGAGAAAAAGGGGTGGCTCTTACTGGGCATGCCTCAGGCTTCAGTCATGGTCAGAGTACTTCTGTGAGTTCTAACGGCACCAATAGGATGAATTAGCTGTAGCTTGCATTTGTGGAAGTGCATGCCACCATATCTGATGCCATATCTGATGCTAACCTTACTTGAACTAACTTGCAGTTCTAGCATAATGTCATGTTCCATCACAGTGTTGCTCTTATGAGCCAATGCTTACTAAGCAATGAAGTGCTGACAAACAGGGCTCAGGAATGGGATCAAAATCCATCTACCTTTACTAAAGATCGACACTACAGATTCATGTTGGATGAGTGCAACAATACAGAAGAGTGTTTGTGTGTGCCAGTTCTCTGATTACTCTGAAATGGTACAGGACAATTGCTAGCATGTAAAACAATCTTCAGAAATGTTTTTCATCCTTAGCTGAAGAGATGGAAGTAGCACAATTTCGGGTGTGTCAGTGTGTCAAAACAAGCATTTCTACTCGTTTTCAGGAGATGGCTTTTTTTAAATGTGTGTTTGTCAATTAAGAAAATGTTACTGAATATTTGTATATCATACTTTGGCAAAGAGTCTTAATTAAAAACTCCTTCAGTTATCTGGTTGATTGGTTTTTAAACTACAATTAAAAACAGAGATGTGATAATAGTTTAATGCACAATCAGATTTTACCATAAATGATTACTGTACCTAAAGACAATGTACAAAGCACTGATTTACAGACTACACAATATGTGATACACTTCACATCTATTCATAAATTGTGTTCTATATGCTTAGAAATAGGATTGAAATTATACTCCATATGCCCTTGCTGGTTGCTTAAGGGGCTGAATTGATTAAACTGCCACTCCTAATATACTTTGGTTAGTGCTTCATTAAGCCCAATATATCTTAGTCAAACAGAGGCAATATTTAAATCCAGGACAGGGAGAAAGTCAAGATTCTGAACTGCCATTTACTGAAGATAAATACTTGCCTTGAAAGACTGCTTTTTATCATGAGAAAAAAGTGGGTTTCATTTCTGTTGTGAATCAAAAGAACAGCAGTAATAACAGAATGAGCAGAAATTAATAATTTTAAGTATTAATATAAAAGAATAAACTTAGCACATATTAAAAAATTAAAGATTTTTGTAAATCCTGCAGGCTCTTTTTAAATAAAACTCTATATATGTATCTGTCCTGATATTTTTTCAAAACTTCAATTCAATATTGCTAATTAATAAAATATAACATGTTTTAATGGCCTCAGAAATTGCCCTACTGACAAACAAATTATAACACGGAAAACACAAGGAAGTCTGCCTGCTTCTTAAATGTATGATTAACAGTTCCACATTGAGCAGAGTCATAATCTTCTATACCCATTGATTTCAACTCTGCTTGGAATGACACTATAAATGTTGCAATACGGACACTGTTTTCTAAAAAACAGTTACTGACCTCCTGCTATGAAGTGAAGACATTAGGTCTACATATTCAATGATATAGAGCTTTGCCACTACTTACTAATTCTTTGTTTACAGAAGTAGATGGTTGGGTGGTCTATAAAATAGGGCTTTGTTTAAAAGTATTCACATGTGCTCTTCATTCAAGTGGATTTTTAATTGTTCCTCTCTACATGTATTACTTTCATGGGAGTGGTGGTGGAGAATCATACCAAAAGTTCACTTCATGCAGTAAAATGCAAATTAATTGTTCATACACATTACCCACTCTCAACCAGATTTCTGGTTTTAGAAACCCTCACACAACTGGAAGTATTTAAATCAAAAGTATTTACATCAATTAAGACCCCCCACAAAAACCAACCCACGCTTCATATTGGGAAATCTGGAAAGTATGGATCAAAAGTAGGAAAGAAACCATTTGTAAAAGTTTACAATCTTGAAATTCTAAAATTTTGCACACTACTCTCAGTGAACACCACCATTCATGGCCTGGTAATTCAGCTAATGATCCAACCAGAAAGGAAATGTAGAAAAGCTTTAGCACTTGCTAAATATCTCAACCTTTGCCACATACAAGAATCTGAGGCAGAAAAATAATTACCATGTTTATAGTAATACAGAAAATAAAGCAAACACTTAGCAGAAATCCTAGATTGTAATTTAGATTACAGGATTATTGTAAAGACCAAAACAAGGAGAACAAAGACCAAGTGGGAGGAACCACATCCACTCTGTTCTGATATGGAATAATCTGGGGTTCAGATAAGGAGGAGAGTGTAATCCACACTAACTTCTTTCAAAGAAAATTATAATATGATTTTTTATTTTTATTTTTGCTTTTCAGACTTGTTTCTGTGCTTGAAGTTGGGAACTGAGAATTTAAAGCAGGTTATGTTTTTTGCCTCCCTTTCTTTTATTATCCCAAGCACAGGTTATTTTTTTCACCTCCCTTTCTTTTAGCAACCCAAGCACAGCAATTGGAGGAGAATAAGTACATTTAATTAATTTCTCTCTTCAATTCTGATTTTTTTCTACTGCATATCTCCCCAAAAGTCCACCAAAACCATTTACACAAAAGTCTGTTAACAGCAGTCATGACTGAAGCTCAAATGACAGCTATATAATTCAGAAATGTGTACCTTTCTTCTTAATAAGAACAAGCATGACTAACCCCATTAAATGTACCAGCGGGAGCATATGTGGCCATACTGTCCTAATACTGCACTTCTATTGTCCCTCTTATTTTCCTTGCTGGAAACAGAGCTAAATATCAACCAATGGCAAGAGCTTACACAAGAATTTAAATAATTAGCTTGCTGGACAAAAGAATGCTGCACAAAAAAGGTTCCTGTGACCTATGACAGAAACCTATGAATAAACATAAATGTGTTTGCAATTTAATATCAAAAAGAGAGACCTAGATGAGTTTTGCGCAGCCTAAATCACCTCTTGTTTGAACAAAACAATTTGGTAATTTGGTGACAGAACTGTAAAGGGAACATACAATCACCCACATTACTTCTCGTTTGTACAGCTTTCATGCCAATTTCCCAAAAGCCTTTTTAAAATACTTGAAATGTTTTAGATTTAGTGATGCTGGATTCCCTACAGGCAGATTTTGAGGCACACAGTTCCACAAGGACATTCTCTGGACCACCACCTCAGTACTAATTAAACAACTGAATTTGTAATCTCCCCTCTTCTTCTCATTCTCCCATGATCATTTTCCACCTGCCCGATTAAGCATCACCTTAAGAATGCAAAGTTAACTTGATTCAGAATCTTACTATATCGTGTATTATTTATTTTATTTAGTTGACTTGTATCCCACCCTTCCTCCAAGAAGTTCAGGGCAGCCAACACGGTTCTTTCCCATGTTATCCTCACAGCAACCACTCACCCTGTGAGGCAAGTCAAGCAGAGAGAGAGTGACTGTCCCAAAGTTACCCACTGAGTTTCATGGCAGAGAGGGAATTCAACTGTTGGTTTCAATTACATGTCATTCATTTTTATCTCAACACAACTGAAATGCAGAAACATTTTCTTTTTGACTGTTGTACCCTTCGTAACACTATACCCACTTATCACTTGAATACCTCTGCAAGCTATTTCTTGTACAGCCCCCTGAAGCATGGGATGCTTTATGAATATAAAATGCCATTATTGTCGGAAGTATCAAAATGGTTAGCGGGAGCAGATAAAATAAGTCCTGTGTTTATAAACTGCTTCTTTAGTATCTAACCATCCTGAAAACGATACAAAATGATACCTGGTACTAAAGAAAGCCCTAGAGCGGAGGCATACATAGGGCATATATGCACATGCATGCTTTAACTCAGACCATTCAAACCTCTGAAGATCCCAAGATTCTGTCTACGTTAAAATCTTTCCCAAACAAAATGATAGTTAGGAGGGATTACACTGTGTAATCTGCTTTGAGAAAGGTGGGCTATAAATAACATAAATAAAATAACAAATAAACAGCTGGATAACTGTGTCCAAAAGCTTTAGTTATGACTGAATACAAAAATATCCACATATAATATAACCCCATGGGATTTTGGCAATGGTTTGTTCAAGTCAGTGCTAACCATCATTAATTCCAGATGACAACTATAATTTAAACTGGATTATGCAGTGGAAATATGTTTTCAGGATACTCAGAACAGTCATGGTGAATTGCACCCCAAAGCATTTTAGTTAATGTATTGGTCTTGACTATGAACATAGTGAGATATTACACACACACACACACTTTCAGTTGCTATGGACAAAGAAATTCCACAGATATTCATGAAACTACAGGAACAAAGCAAGAAACTTTGTAAAGCAAAAAAAAGAAG